ATGCACATGAAAGTTGAATGTTTGGGGAATCCAGCAAGTATAGATACATTCCTGAGCTCTTATCCATATTGCTGTAATACGCGTTCAAAGTTGAAAAATTGAAATAAGAACGTTCGAAAAAGCAGAATAACAAGAAAAGTATAGTAAATAATGTAAATAATTTATATTTACCATAGCAACCACTTAATAAATAATATAATCACCAGAAACGTACGATAATTAATGTCAACAGTTGACATTTACCTAAAGTTCAATAATCTAGCAGTTCTATAAAAGTTGTTTATTAAGAAACATTCTAGATCAAAAATGTTGTATATGAATAAAGCTGATATTTGAAGAATTATTCATCTATTTTTTCTTGAATATAAGTTTCAAATTTATTATAATAGCATAAAATAAATATTTCTACAATTTCAATATATTTTTTGCTGTTTATGAATCATTATTTTTGTAATATTTTAAATAACTCGCTTAAAAAATTGACATTTAACTTTATGGGAAACTATTGTACAATTTTATGTTGTCAAATAATGAAACTTTTATTTAAATGATCTACACTTTACTAATTATTAACCTGTTTTCTATTAAAAAAACACATTAATTTGTTTTCTTATTAAATTTTCTATAGTTTTGTTACTTAAAATTTTTAATTAATTTATGGTTAACAAAATATTTGCTGTTGCAATTCGTGTAATAAAGTAAATTTTGTTCTTAACACATAAATTTGACTGTAAAGTATTTTGTTATGTCTATGATTATTGCGAAAACGCTTTTCAAACACGTTTATTATAAGTAACTACATTTGCCTCAAGGATTATAAATAAATTCAAAATAAATTAAATTTTTCTTACAAATTTCTTCATATTACATTTAATACTCTATAAATATCGAAAATTTTGTTATTTACCAAATAATAGTTGTATATTCTTCCAATTATATAAAAGAAAACATCATTTTTATCATTTACTCTAAGTTAATTATTAGAAAATACAAGAAAATGTTTGTGAAATTCTTCAAATTAAAACAAAAATATCTCATTGGAATTCTTTTCCAATTAGCAAAACGCACGATCCAGATGATTCAATCGTGCTGTGATTCATTTATATTAGAATTACGTATCGATTTTGATCGAAATTGTAGAAAAAACGAATGAATCATTGAACACAATTGAAGTTCAATTAACTTTGAAATTTCTTTAAATCATTCTTCAAGTCGTTTTTAACGATTCCAATAGTTTAAAAAACAAGAATTTGTACAGATTTGTTCCAGTAACATTTGTATCTATTACAACGTAGAATTAATATATAAATTTCTTTAAAATCATCTGTAAATGTCGCTAATTAAAATATAGCTTAGAACAAGAGGATTTGTGTGATTCATTTAATTTAGAATTTCGTATTGATTTCGATCGAGATTGTAGAAAAAAACGAATGAATCATTGAACACAATTGAAGTTCAATTAACTTTGCAATTTCTTTAAATCATTCCTCAAGTCGTTTGTAATGATTTCAATAGTTTAGAAAACAAGAATTTGTACAGATTTGTTCCAGTAACATTTGTATCTGTTATATAAATTTCTTTAGAATCATCTGTAAATGTCGCTAATTGAAATATAGCTTAGAACAAGTGGATTTGTGTGATTCATTTATATTAGAATTTCGTATTGATTTCGAACGAGATTGTAGAAAAAACGAATGAATCATTGAACACAATTGAAGTTCAATTAACTTTGAAATTTCTTTAAATCATTCTTCAAGTCGTTTATAACGATTCCAATAGTTTAGAAAACAAGAATTTGTACAGATTTGTTCCAGTAACATTTGTATCTGTAGATTTTATATATAAATTTCTTTAGAATCATCTGTAAATGTCGCTAATTGTGCAAATTTGAACATTCTATTACAAACATGAATGTTCAAATATGCACAAATACTCAATTATTGTCTCAAACCATATATCTTCTAATGATTATAATTTAAAAAAAAAACTAAAGACTCGATAAAGTTCTTAATGATTTTCCAGAAAGATCCTGCAGCTATACGATCAACAATCTATCTAAATGTCAGCAGCCGCGGTCTGCAGATTAGCATTTCGCCGTCAAAATCTGCAGTTAAATTCCGCTCGAATCGGAAATCTGAATGCAACTAGCTGACATTTGAAAATGTGTTTGCTATTCCGAGCGTAACAAATAAACGATAACAATTATAAAATAAGAAAAAAAAAACAATAATGAGAGGCTGCAACAACCAAGCACCTTTCCGTTCCATTCTTGTTGTTTTCTCGCCGGACACAACAACAAAAAAATTCTGTTCCAGCACCATTAGTAACTGGATCACGCATTCAAGGACGCAAAACGGAATTCTGCAACAAGAATTTGCGCGCACGGATCGGAATAATAAACGAGTTGAAGGAGTACAATTATTTATTTATATATCTTCGAGCAAATTTGTTAAGAGAACTAACAATGCGAACGCTCTGCATGAATTATTCAAGTTGTGACGATGACCTTCGATGAAAACGCATTTTCCACTTTTCGTTTCTGATTTATATTTTATTTATATATTTTTTTTCTACGATAATTAATTTGTGTTGTAATTAAGCGGCGATTGTGATCGAATAATCGTTAATAAAATCGGATCCCATTCACCGCGGAAACATTAAATAATCATTAAGGTAATCACCGTTTTGCACGTTGCGTGACTCACTCAATGGAAATATAGAGTAGATTAATCAGTTGTCTTCTCTATATTTGTTAATTAAGAATTGGTGGTAACTGGAGGATGAGAATACCGAACTCGAGTTTTCTCTGCTGCAGCTGGTTGGTTGATCCGGTGAGCGGATTTTCAAGGCAGCCCACTTCGCTTCGCTTTGAAGCGAATCTACCCATAACATGATTATTATTTACAGTTAAAAAGCGTTAGCAGCTTTTACATGCTGGCATTTCGATCGTTCCAGGTGCGAATTTGCTGCTGAAAGGTCTTTTGTGTGTTTCTTTGGCGGAAGGAGCGTTGTCGGTCCGTTTCGCAACGCAACGTTGTTGGTTGTTATGTCACGGAGAGCGCGTTTCTGTTGCGCAACCGGACCGGACTCGGCGGAATGTATTTATTTACAATCGCGTGTGCTGCATATGTATATTCAAATAAGCGCGGCAAATACACAGCACACTTGTACAAGACGTTGCGCAACGTTTCTTCGGCGTTTCAAAATTTCGACGGAGGACACCAGCTAAAGACGTGTTATTTACATTTTTCCCAAACGGATATTGTAAAACCATCCGCTCGAATCGACTTATTCCCACACACAAATACACAATTCAACTTGTTTCTATGACACATCTCGAACCCTTGGCATTTGGACGAACGAAAAACCACTTAAATTCACGAATTTTAACTAACAAATTACAATAACTTAAATAAAAAAAAACTACTGTGAAGTTATGTATTAACTATATAAAATACATTCGTCTTCAATCCAAAAGCTGAAGACACTAAATTTTCAAGTATTAATTTTCAAAATTTCTAAATAATTTCACTGAAGACACTCAATTTTCAAGGATCACTTTAAAAGTAGATTCTTTATTGAAATAGTAAAAATCAACGATTTTCTCTTTTCATTTTTGTTTTTTTAATGAGATAATTTATCTTCATATGTAGATAACAGAAAATGTAATTAAACTATAATAAATATAAAAATATTTGGCGTTTTCTCCAAAAAAAAAAACTGGAAATGTTATTGGGTCAAAATCATTATTCAAAATAAAAATTTTAAATGCCAGTGGTTTTCTTCAACAAAAAAATATATAAAATTATAATTTAGGAATCAGGATTTCCGATGCTGACTAAAGTTTCGTTTTCATTAGTATCTTAGAAATGGTAAAAAAAATTGAAGTTGAGAAGTGGATTTAATTACAGATTTAGGATGAATCAGAACGAAATAGTTGAAATTAACTTATAATGTAGGAAATAGAATGAATCACAATTAAATAGTTGAAATTAAGATATAGGAGATATTATGAATCTCAATTTGAAATCAAATTTAAGAAGCAGAATAAATCTTGTTATAAATCTAAAATTATGAATTGTAATTAAAGAATGTGAAAATATTGCAAGAAACTAACGAATTTATGAAAAGAATTTTATATATTGAAGATCTCAGTGATTGTTTTTAACTTTTCTAAGTATTTCTTTGAACTTGTAAACATTTAAAACTTTATCTACGAATTTAACAATTTCATAAACCAATATTAGTTGAAATATTCTTAAATATGTTGTTTTAATTGTTATATGAATAAACTAAAGTTTTAAAAAAAAAGTGGTAATATGCAGATTAACATTTTTATTTGCATATTCAAATTTCGTTAATGATTTCTTAATAATCGAGATAATAGAAAACATGCACATCCTTAATTATATAGAATGTATAATTAATTAAAATGTTGCTACTTGTTTCGATGTTATTTTCAATTACACGATTTCTGTTTCAGATTCCTCCGAAGTGGTTCAGATTCCGAAATTTGGCCGTATTTATCCTAGTCATTATAGTCTTAGTGCAAATAGGAACGTCCGTCAAAGGTGAGTCCACGATTTTGGATATACATTAAGATTTTTGTTGAAACGTTGCATCAATATTAATAATATTCAATGGTATTTCGTCAAGTCGGAGTAAACGAGCCAAAAACAAAAAAAAACAACAACTAAAGGATGTTAAAATGTCAGATGTGTTTTCTAGAAGGATTCCCATGAGTGAATAACATTCTAAACGCACATGCGATTAAAGTAATATGTATTTCGTGTGCTGAAGCAAACTTTCGTTTCGATTTATTATTTTTTTGTTGTTGTATGATTTTGTTCTGTTGTATAATTAGGTTTTCCAATTTAGCTTTGAAAACGGTAATAAAAGAAACGTGGATAAAAGAACGAAATTATGTGACCAAGAACTTGCAATTTAATAATGGTAATAAACGCGAAACAGAAATATGATCCGAAACTTTCTAATGGAAAACTGGACGGTGTCGAAGTGAGGTCGATTTCTCACGCTAACAAATCGCGACGAAAAGTTGTAAGCCGAGAATAATTGTAATTAATCGGAGACAGCGCTAATTGGTCTGCGGTTAATACAGTAGATTCGAATCCTCCGGAGCGGAAGACAATGGTCGATTGTCCAGAGCCGTATCTTAATGATCCTTGGCATCAATTCTCGCTTGCGCAAATAAACGTTTGATTGCGCTCTCTGATTTTGTCTTCTCTTGCACATCTGTCCAGTTACCAGGAGGAGATTGAGGAGACCGACGACGACTGCCGCTTCGGTTGCTTCTTCATCTGATCAGGATGTTGCGGCGAGCGTGAGCAGGTTCAGGGTGAGAGGACGCGGAAGCTCGAAGAAGATCTCCGACAATTCTCTGTCCGCGTCCAGCGTGTCCAAGAAGGACAAAGATGGATACAAGGTCGTTTGCTACTACACCAATTGGTCGCAGTACCGTCCGAAGGTCGGTAAGTTCTCACCGGAAGACATCACCCCGGATCTCTGCACGCACATCATCTTCGCTTTCGGTTGGCTGAAGAAGGGCAAACTCTCATCGTTCGAGAGCAACGACGAGACGAAGGATGGCAAAGCGGGATTGTACGATAAAATACATAAACTTAGAAAGGCAAATCCGGCGCTCAAGACGCTCCTCGCCATAGGTCAGTAATAAGCATTAAACAACCTCGAGGTATTAAGTTTTTTGATTAATCTACAGGAGGATGGTCTTTTGGTACGCAAAAGTTCAAAGACATGGCCGGAAGCAGATACGCCAGGCAGACGTTCATCTACAGCTCCATTCCATTCTTGAGGGACAGAGGATTCGACGGTTTGGACATCGATTGGGAATACCCGAAAGGAGCCGATGATAAGAAGAACTACGTTCACCTTCTCAAAGGTAATTTCACCTCATTAAATCCAATCAAATTTTAAACAACAACATTAGCATTCAATAGAATACTAGTGAATTCATTAAACTTCTAAATATAATTCAATAGAAACAATACGTCTTTGAATTTTATTAAGAAGAAAGTTAATTTGAATGATTACAAAGTAATTTCTATAATTATGTATTTCTAAACAGAACTTCGCGAGGCCTTCGAAGCTGAAGCTCAAGAAGCTAAGAAACCTAGGTTGTTGCTGTCTGCAGCTGTACCCGTCGGTCCCGACAACATCAAATCTGGTTACGATGTGCCAGCCGTCGCTTCCTACCTGGACTTCATCAACTTGATGGCGTACGATTTCCACGGCAAATGGGAACGCGAAACGGGACACAACGCCCCGCTTTACGCCCCGAGCACCGACAGCGAATGGCGCAAGCAATTGTCCGTCGACCACGCCGCAAGTCTCTGGGTCAAATTGGGAGCACCCAAGGAGAAGCTGATCATCGGAATGCCGACCTACGGAAGGACCTTCACTCTGAGCAACCTCAGCCGGTACAAAGTTAACTCTCCGGCGAGCGGCGGCGGTAAGGAAGGCACGTACACGAAGGAATCCGGATTCTTGGCTTACTACGAAGTCTGCGAGATGCTGAGGAATGGAGCCTCGTACGTTTGGGACGATGAAATGAAGGTACCATACGCGATTCACGGAGATCAATGGGTCGGTTTCGATGACGAAAGATCGATCCGTCACAAGATGAAGTGGATCAAGGAGAGCGGTTTCGGAGGAGCCATGGTTTGGACCGTCGACATGGACGATTTCACTGGCACCGTCTGCGGTGGTAACGTTAAATATCCGCTCATCGGAGCCATGAGGTAATTCATTGATTTCCTTCAAATCTTCATTATTACATAATCTAATTCTTCTATTTGCAGAGAGGAATTGCGCGGTGTTTCTCGCGGCAAAGGAGCCAAGGATATTGACTGGGAGGAAGTGGCCGGTGGTGTTGAAGAAGACGAAGAGGATGAGATTGAAAAACCAGAACCGGCGAAGGTAGCCGTCTCCGAGGTTCTGAAGAGGGTCAGGAAACCAAGCAAGAAGGCGCATTTGAAGGGAGCCTCCACTTCGAGCAGACGCAGTAAGAATTACAAATTAACTAATAAAAAAAAAACAGTATTAATTTTATGTTGCGTTTCAGCGCGTCCACCGCAGGTGTTCTGTTACATCACCAATTGGTCGCAGAAGAGGCCAGGTGCCGGAAAGTTCACCCCAGAAGACATCAACGCGAATCTCTGCACGCACGTTATTTACGCGTTCGCCACGCTGAAAGATTTCAAATTGGCGGAAGCAGACAGCAAAGATGATGAAATGTACGATAGGGTTATTGCGTTGCGCGAAAAGAACGCCGATTTGAAGGTGTTGTTGGCGATCGGCGGTTGGGCTTTCGGATCAACTCCATTCAAAGAGCTGACCGGGAACTCGTTCAGGATGAATCAATTCGTTTACGACTCCATCGACTTCTTGAGGGATTACAAGTTCAACGGTTTGGATGTGGATTGGGAGTATCCGAGGGGAGCTGACGACCGCGTCGCGTATGTTAACTTGCTGAAGGAGCTCAGGTTGGCGTTCGAAGGCGAAGCGAAGAGCAGCGGACAACCTAGGTTGCTGTTGACTGCAGCTGTACCGGCCAGCTTTGAGGCTATTGCCGCCGGCTACGACGTCCCTGAGATCAGCAAATACTTGGACTTCATCAACGTGATGACCTACGATTTCCACGGACAATGGGAGCGCACCGTCGGACACAACTCTCCGCTGTTCCCGCTGGAAAGCGCCACCAGTCACCAGAAGAAATTGACTGTGGTAAGTTACGAATAGTTTAGTTGATTTCGAGCAAATTACAATTGATTTTTGGTTGTTAGGATTATTCGGCTAGGGAATGGGTGAAGCAAGGCGCGCCTAAAGAGAAGTTGATGATCGGAATGCCCACATATGGAAGAAGTTTCGAGCTGGTGAACACGACGCAATTCGATATTGGAGCCGCCGCTTCCGGTGGAGGCGTTGCTGGAAAATACACATCTGAGCCGGGATTCATGAGCTTCTACGAGATTTGCGACTTCCTCCAAGAAGATAACACGACGTTGGTTTGGGACAACGAGCAACAGGTACCATTCGCTTACAGGAAGAACCAGTGGGTCGGATTCGATGATGAAAGAAGTCTTAAAACGAAGGTAAAGTTGCGATTGATATAACGTGAAAAAGAACAGATTTGTAAACTTGGAATTGCAGATGGCTTGGTTGAAGGAGGAAGGTTTCGGTGGAATCATGATCTGGTCCGTGGACATGGACGATTTCCGGGGACAATGCGGAAGCGGTAAATTCCCTCTGATGCAGGCGATGACTCAGGAATTGGATGGATACAAAGTGAAATTGGAATATTCCGGACCGTTCGAGAGTTCCAGTCCCATCGGCCAATACACGACTAAAGATCGTAAGCTTACTCTAACCTAATCAAATGGTGGTGTTAACTTGGTGATTGCAGCGAACGAGGTAACTTGCGAAGAGGAGGAAGGTCACATTTCTTACCATAAGGACAACAACGATTGCACGAGATACTACATGTGCGAAGGCGAGAGGAAGCATCACATGCCTTGCCCGGTCAATCTGGTCTTCAATCCCGATCAGAACGTTTGCGATTGGCCAGAGAACGTTGAAGGATGCATGGAACACACCCAGGCGCCGCCCACGCGCAGATAATTTTAGCGAAAGACGAAGAAAGTTAAAGAGAAAAGAACACGCACTCAAGCACACACAGGCCTAAAAACACACACAAAAAAAGAACACAAATACTCCCCTAATTCTGCTATGTCCCCCCCAATCTAACGCAAATACCCGCGATTCCCAAGAGGAATGAATAAAACGACTTTATTATTAGAAGCAACAGCAAACAAACAAAAAAAAAATGAAGATAATAATGAAAAACCTTATATTTTAATCTAAGATTTAAATTTAATTTCGGTTCTGTGATGTATTTAAAAGTTATTATTTTTAATTTATACATATATATTATATATAATATTTTAGAGCGAGATGCAAATAAGTTTTCACTCGGTGAAACGAAGACCGCTCATTTTAGAGCAATACCATCAGAGTATCTTGCGCAGGCGGCGTCTCTCGTGTGTACCATAATTATATTATTTTTGTATTATTATTATTACTATTTTTATACGTGCGAGTAGTTTTGTAAATATGTTATATCAAATAATAGTAATAAACATAGAGAAAAAAACAACTAATTAGCAATGATTAATTAAAAGTCGTCGTCGCTGTTGTCTTGCACGATGCTGCTGCTTATTCTAGCAGACGGGGCTCGCTTCAGATCGAGCGCCAAACTGAGACTGTCCTCTTCGTCGGATTGCAGAAGCTCCGGCTCATCGTTATCCAAGAAGATGTCGTCGGAGTCCGAAGACTCTTCATCGACGGACATGCTACCGAAAACCTTTCCCTTACTGCTATTGTCCATGCGTGTCCGTCCTAAAAAGCTCAAAACGTTGAAGATCTTTCTACGAAACTTGTGCAAGAATGTGTTAAAACCTCCAGTGCGCGCCCTCGGCCGCTCTTGTCTGCTCGGCGCCAACCTTTGCTCCGCATTGATCATAGGCTCCTCTATGCTCATCATCTGATCGTTGGACTCCTCGATCTGAAACGCTATCGGCTCAATCTTCTGTTGAGACGAAGCCAACTGTTGCCTCTCGATCTGCACACGTTCAGCTTCAGCAGCCAACCTCTCCAGCTGCGTCAAACATCTCAATCTCACCGAGTACTGTGCGAAAAGCTTATTCAATTCCTCCTCCAAACCGGTGAACTCCTCCAAAAACGCAGGACTGGAAAAATGATCAAAATACATCAACTGTCCAGCTCGCAGCAATAACGTCTCACCGAACTTTCTTCAAGGTCTGTAACCTCTTTTCGTATCGATCGATTTCCACTTTCCTCCTTTCGATCTTAGCGTCTAAGCTTCCCTCCGTAGCCGAAACATTGTCGATCATCTGCATGGTTTCAGCTACATTAGCTTTCAATGATTCAATCGCCTTCCTAATCGATGCTTCCACGTCGGCCACCTCGTAATTCCTCCCAACGCTGGCTTGCCTTAAACCCTAACCCAACCTAAGCTACTGAAAGTCCTCTGAAAACATTTATATACCAACCCTCAGATCAATCTCCTTTCCCAGCAAATCGAACAAGCTCGCTCCAGAAGTTGTTATTTCCGTGGCCAATTGCCGCGACTGCTTCAAATCGTGTATCTAAAACGCCAATTATAAGTATGAACCAATCATATACCATAAACATTTACTTTATCGGAAATATCAAAATCCCGAACGCTCAATTCTTGTTCCACCTCTTCATCTTTCCCACCGACAGAGTGATGCATCAAAGCCTCGTAAAGCACAGACGAAATCTTCAAAATTTCCTTAACAGCATACCCATCAGCTTGGTAAAGCCTTTTCGTGTTCAACTTAATGTTCGCTTTCAAAGCCTGAAAATCCTTCAGTTACACTATACTCTTCAATTAACTTTCCACGCACCATGAATTGGGCAGCGCTCCTTATTAAAGCAATCCTCTCCGTTTCTGTATCTATTTCACCTGAAATATCGGCATCAGGTTCAAACCTCTTCGCTAACCACACCAAGAGGTTCGCTACAAGCGGGAAGTTCGGCTTCCTGAAGCTCTCCATCGATACCAGAGCCGGATAACCCAACGTCCGCAACATTTCAGTAAAATCTACAAGATACAATTTTAGCTGTAAATGTAATTTGTTTGAATTTACTTACTCCTAACATCCCTGTAAGACATTCCCAAGAGCACAATAAATATTGTTTGTATGCTCAGTCGCTTAGTAACGAAAATAATTAATATTATGTAGGCAACAGCTCAAACGCCTAATTAATTATGAATTATTAATTAATAATTAATAAGAATTAACCATAATAAAACAAACACATTCATTTTCAATGAATATAATTAACAATTTGACTATACATTATAACTTGACTATGAAACAAGCATATGTCAACTTTTCTTCCTCATTCTGAGTTCGTGCATGAGAAAAGCCCTCATGTTGCCATCAGTTACTTCCTCACTGATCCTCTTCATAGCCTTCTCTCCACCATCCTTGTAGTATTCGGAGAGCTTCTCCACATAGTCTAACCAGACACAGTTGGCACACCCGGACATGCAGCAAGTTGTCGGAGGCTCTGGAAAGGTGGTTGTCAACTCTGAGGCAAGCACTTTATCATCCTTCTGCTTTGCTTTTGGATATTTAACCTCCGCATTGACAATAGTCGAAGCCACATCTTTGGCTGAGCTACTGCTGCTGTTACATCTGAGGGATATCTGAAAAACTTGACCTTTTTGATTACAGGGCTTTTAATTGTTTGCCTCGATACTTACTTGAACGTGTAAACATTACAGAGAATTTTTGGCATGTTTATACTTTTGCCCTTTTACTCAGGTTAAAGTCAAATGTATTATTGGTTGCCTGCATTTCTAATCACAGAAATTAATTACAATGAAATTAATTACTGCATTAAAGATTAATTTATTGTTAGCCCATGATGTAGTTTATTTACATATAGAAGATAAAAGCAACAAAAAGAGGATATTTGCAAAATATATAATTATTTGACATTTTTAGAAGCTAATTAAGCATTTATGAGTTATCAATAGGAAATAAATTATTTGATATTAATGTATAATTTGAGCACCGTCGCTTGGCGAGCATACGTAAAATGTGGGGATTCCAGAGTATTCAGTCTTAATGGTGGCTATTAATAAGTCGACGCTATTTCTGTAAACCTGAAACAATTTGAATGCTAAAACTGCTTTGTTTCAGTAGTATGTTAAGTTACCAAAGTAACTGTGCAGCCGCCAAAACCTCCTCCAGTCATGCGGCTCCCCAAGACACCTTTCACGCTAAGAGCAATGTCCACGAGTTCGTCCAATTCCTTGCACGATACTTCGAAGTCATCCTTCAAAGATTTGTGACTCTGAGTCATGAGTTCGCCGAATCTAACGAAATCCTTGACTTTCAGAGCGTCCGCTGCATCCTTGGTCCTTGCGATCTCAGTGACCACATGTCTGGCCCTCTTCACGATATCCTCTTCAGCCACATCCTCCAATCGTTTGACATCTTCAACGGCGACGTCCCTCAAGCTGAGCTTCTTCAGCTGAAGCGCCGCCTTTTCGCATTGCTTCCTCCTGGTACTGTACTCGCTTCCGGTGAGCTCATGTTTAACATTGGAATTCGTCACCAGCACCACAACATTATCATCGGCAAACGGAATTAGTTTGCTCGTCATCATTCTGAAAAACGAAAAGCGATGATGAACTTCTCTGCCGGATACAGCAACTTCGATTATGCGTGTATATCACCTGCAATCTATCAGCAGAGCGCAATCCTTTTTGCCCAGGAAGGAAATGAATTGATCCATGATACCGCACGGCATCCCCGCGTAATCGTGTTCCGCCTTCTGGCACGCCAGGGCCTTATCAGTTGGCCTGAAAACATACAATTTGCAGCCTTTCTAAAACCGCCTTCGAGTGTCTGTCTATCGAGATGTTACATAACGGAGCGAGATTTGTCGCCGTTCAGCGCGTCCAGGAATTGGTATGTGACGACCTCCAGGGCCGCACTGCTCGAGAGTCCTCCACCGATCGGAACACTGGACACGATCACCGCCTTGAAGGTGGGTGTTTCACCGATGTAATTCGCCAAAACACCTTAAGAAAGAGAAAATCAATGTAAAAAAAAAATCGTTTGCTTGCATATCTGTACGCATTACCCTTGACATAATTGGCCCACTTTGGTTCGCACCTCCTGTCGACCGTGAACAACTCCTTCTTCTGGATCTTGACCCTCCTCGCTCCCTTGATATCTTCATTCCTCGTGACCACAATCGACTCGTCCCCTTCCGTCCTGCTCCCGACCATAACAGTCACCAAAGGCAGAGCCTATCCAATCCAAACACTATACGCAACAATACAACACTTGAACCACAACCTTACCATTGGTAAAACAAATCCATCGTTGTAATCCGTGTGTTCTCCTATCAGATTCACCCTACCTGGAGCAAAGACCACAGCCGATGGATCTTCTCCATCGAACTCCTCGCGAAATCCGCTCTTGGCGGCAGCGATTAAACTCTCCAAACTAGGTATCTGCTCTGCCATTGTTCGAAACGCTCGAGACTGCAAAGCGCAACTGAGTCTACATTCAATTAATCTGGCGAGGAAACCTGATAAGCCTCAAGCGAGCAAAAAAAAAATAAAGCAATGTACACAAACACAATCAACATAAATATTTAGAATTCGCATGTTTGTTAACTAACGTCATGTGATTCGCTTCGAAATACAAGTATAATTCCAACGTAAAATCTTTTGTGTTGTTATGCAAGGTGCTAATCAATAAATTCACTTTGCACAACATCACAACAAATCTAAAAATAAACGTGTTGAGTTATAACTCAACTTGATAAATGTTATCATCAGCTGGAAAAAATTTTAATTAGCAATTTTAATTGTTATTAAAGTAATATTAATATTATAAATATTAATCCAATGAAAAAATTAAACTTTATTTAGAATAATTGTGCAATATTATCAAAAAAGTTAAAAAATTAAAAAAAAAAAACAATTTATTTAAATAATATTATTGAAGTTTTATATAATTATATTATTTGAGTATTTCAATAAAATTTCTTATGAGTGTTGTGATTAAATTTAATATTTAGAAATTTGTTTTTTTTAAATATTGTATATTATAAAAAAAAACTGATTAATTTTCACTATAGTTTTTAGCTGTATAAATTTACAAATTGATTAATATTTATTGATTATCCATTATTTGCACATTATTTGAAAACTTTAGACTATTATAGATAGTTCAAATATGTCTAAAATTAACCTTAGGGCAAATGACAAATGATAAAATAACTTGCGTTTTTTTTTCATTGTACGTGTTATTGAAGAGTTACAAATATTTACTGAACAAGATAGTAAATATTTGTAACTCTAATCTAGTAGGTGAAAATTATATTTCTATTGTCAAAGATAACTTCATTAATTTATATTATTTACAAAAGTACTAAAATGTTTTCAAATTTAAGTCTACTACTAATTTACAATCTACAACTGATTTGTAATTGTTTCATAAGATCTAAATTAATATTAATTAACTATATTTTATTTAAAAATATTTATATAATTCATATTTGAATTTAAATTTAAATTATCTTCAGTTTCGAAAAATTCGCACTAGATGAAGATTGAACTTCATATTTAATTATTCGCAGTTTATTAACTTCTAAAGCAGATTTTAATTAATATACAACTCAATTAACGCTCGAATTAAAAAAAATACTGAAAGCAAACAGCGCCGAAATGGGGTGAACTGTAACCTTCGTTGTGAAACTTACAGGTGGCGTATAAGAATATTTGTAAAGATTAGTTAGAAGATTAGAAAAACAATTTACTTAAATAATATTATTCAAGTTTTAGCGTAATCTTGTTCAGTTTATATTTGTAACTCTAATCTAGTAGGTGAAAATTATGTTTCTATTGTCAAAGATAACTTCATTAATTTACATTATTTACAAAAGTACTATAAAATTTTAAAATTTAAATCCACTATTAATTTACAGTCTACAACAGATTTGTAATTGTTTCATAAGATCTAAATTAGTATTAATAAACTATATTTAATTTAAAAATATTTATATAATTCATATTCATATTTAAATTTAAGAATTTAAATTTAAATTTAAATTATCTTCAATTTCGAAATATTCGTACTAGATGAAGATTGAACTTCATATTTAATTATTCGCAGTTTATTAACTTCTAAAGCAGATTTTAATTAATATACAACTCAATTAACGCTCGAATTAAAAAAAATCCTGAAAGCAAACAGCGCCGAAATGGGGTGAACTGTAGCCTTCGTTGTGAAACTTACAGGTGGCGCATAAGAATATGTGTAAGTTGGGTTGCATATGTCACGTCATGGTTTCTTTATTTTCGCCATCTTATGGCAATCACTAGAAGGTCATAGTTCAGCACTTTCTGCGCTGTTCACAGTTAGACTTTTTAATTAAAGCTTTAATTAGATTTAATTATTAACAGAAATGCGCTTTATTTAATTACCTTTCGAATACTTGCTTTTATTAATGATATAAAGTATTATTTATTAAACTGTGAATAAATGAATATCCATTTGAAGCGGTATCTAGCGTGAATTATAGGAATTCAATAGGTTTTAAATTTTAAAAAAATGTAATGACAAAAGGGCTTTGGAAAAGTGAAATTAAACGTTTTAAATACTCAAAATCTTATATTTTATTGATTTATCTATAGAAAATCCTTTGAAAATGTATTTTATCTATAGTATATTTCGTTGCCTATGTATAGTATTAACATTTGTAATTTCTGTACTGAAAATATATTTTTCAGCTCTAATAAAAGATTTGTATATTCTTTCACTTTTTAATTTAAGAAGTTCACTTAAGTTAATTTTAATATTGCTTTGAGCATACAATTCAAATATTATAATATTTATACCTTATGTAATTTGAGAAGTTTGTAAGCTTTTCCTTTGGCATTAAAATATTGAGGTTGAGCGAAATTTTAAATTAACTTTAATGATATGTCTTTAACTTACATCACACGTACACACTGAAACACGCAAATTCGTCAATTGAATAATAAATAAGTACATAAATAAATACATAAATAAATAAATACAGATAATCACAGTCTAGTCAAAATCTTTGTGGCTACACGTTCTTGGCGAAGCAGGCATCCTTGAAATTAGTTACGTTGAAATGGACGAAGTAGTCGTCGTGTATGAAGCGGATTATGTCTTCTATTTTGCATAGGTTTATTTTGCTCGTAACCTTCACCAGATCTTTGCAGAAAGCTATCTGCTTGGTCACATCTTTACCGTTGCTGAGGACGCGGAAATAGACGCCTTTGACGCCGTTCTGGGGTTCCCTGTTATCGTTGTACACCTCGAACACGATCCTTCCGGCATACCGGAACAGAAGAGGATCGTTCTGAAGACCGAGGGCCGCAGTCAACTGTTCCAGAGTGTGATCGTGGCCGGAATACAGCACCAAATACGGTCCATTACTCGAAACCTGCTCATAAAGAACAATCATTGTCAATAAACGAACGATTAAATAGCTTTTAAATTATTCATAACTTGTTCCAACGTAGTTGAAGAATACGTAATTGTAATTGCTAATTTCAAGATATTTACTTCAGCAAATTACAATAAGTATTTATTATTACAAGCTGATTATGAAGACAATAGGCATATATTACCATGTGCAGCATTTGCGAGACGATGTTCTTGATGAGACCGTAAGATTTCAACAAACAGAATCTCCTCCAGTTCACGTTCTTCCACTTCTGATGGGTCACCCAATCGGTGTAAGCGAAGATGCCGACCACGTTTTGTCTCCTCACGCAGCTATTAGTGTTCTCGCATGGCAGTGGACTTCCGTGGCAGACGTAGGTCAAAAGGGCGTCTCTCACAGAGTGCGGGTCCGAGGTGAGAATTGCCTGTTCCACCACTGAAGAGAAGATCGCCCGACCCGTGGTTTCAGCTAGTAAACTAACAGCAGGATGCGACCTCAGGTCCTTATTTATGCTCTGCTGAACAGCCCTGCAATAACAAGCACTCACATTAAAGTCTAATCTTCAGACACTTCAATAAATACTAATTTAGCAAAAAAAAAATTAGATTGTCACCATCTAATTTGTAATTTGAATAATGATTTAATATTAATTGGCAATTAGAATGAAATTAATGATTACTTCATTAACTAATATAATGATAAATTTAACTGTTGACTTATGGAATTTCCAGTCTACATCAAGACTGTTATGATTCGTTTATTTCTTAATGCACGTTTATTTAGCATGCTGTGTCACACACCGTTTTGTTTGTTTATTTGAACCGAAATGAGACAAATTCCTAAAATTGCATAACACTATGTTTGCGCAATAATCAAAATAATAATTCTAAAACAATTTAAAAAATTCCATTAGATAATGAACATTTCAACCAGTCCATAAATCTGCGACAATTGCGTTTAACATTCAGAATCGTTATTGCCTTGGAAAAACAAAAGTAACATTATTTTATGTCAACACCTGCCATACGTTTAAAATGTATTTGCTTTTGCTGTTTCATACATTGAAATTTTCAGTGCGGTTTTAGATTTAAGAGAATTGTCAATAATAATGATTGGATCAGGCGTATTTTGTGATTTGTCATCAACTTACGCCTGAATCAATTGCGTTTGTTGGCATGTCTTGAATTGTGTTTAAGTATCAATATTTCCTTGGCAAAACAAAAGTTGTTTTCTTTTCATGTCAATAGTTGTGTGTTGCGAAAACGGTGAGTCGTTTCAGAAAATACATTTCATCAATATTTACTTTAAGTATGTTACACCTTTACCAATAGAAGTTTGATTTTTCAATTTAAGATATTCGTCTTTAGGAAAAGCACGTAATGCGAATTTACTTGGAATATTTGTCCGAGATGGGACATCCGCAGTCTTTGAAGCAGAAGCTCATGGATTGGCTCTCGTACACGTTCAATTTGGCTAGTGCTTCACCAGGAATAAGTCCGTAGAGGAATGCCAGAGCCGATTGGAAGGTGCGCCGGTATCGGGTGCTGTAAACAACCACCTCGGATTGGCTCAGGTTCTGGATCTTCGGCCAAATGAACGAGTAACTGCGCTTCAGGATGTGACCCAGAGCGAGCAACTGCGACACACCTTGCATGGTCAGCTGTCCCAGCTGGCACCGGTTGGCCAGCGTCGGCAGCAGAGGAAACCCATGGAAAGGTCCCGGTCCAATCCAAGAAACCTTCCCCGATACAGTCAAATTATGCAAATAGCTCTGAAAGCAAGTGCTGAGTAACCAAAAGAATTGCCAATCCTGTAATAATACTAACTTTGTAGGCAGTGAGCAAATCGGTTTCCGGGGTTCCGCAGTGTATAGCGGAAACGTTCTTCAGATGCTGCAGAGGTCCTCGATCTCCGTGCCGGATCAGCACCAGCAGTCCTTTGAGCACCCACTTGTTGGATTCCACCGTACCTGCAAAAGCAAACACAAATTTCGAAAGTATTTTTGATTCCTTGGCGCGGCTTCCGACGCCGCGAAAATAGCCGGTGTGATCACGAAAATAAACCCCGTGACGCTGATTGAATATTATTGAGGTGCGAGAGAACGAAGGAGAGGAAAAACAAGTAAGGCTTTCATTCTTTCTTTTTTTTTTTGTTCGTACATCGCTCATTGGCAAAAGGCGCTAGAAAATTCCGCTACCTTCGTCTCCGTCGCTAATTTCGTGCGGCTGATTGCACAACTTGAAAATGCGCTTCGTCTTCACGTCGAACTCCAGGTTGTGCGAGGGATCCGTGTTCACGGATGGTTCTGGCGCCGATCTCTGATGCGGCTCCAGGAACTTGTAGATTCCTGCCACGAGCATCAGGATCCAGATGCTCATGATGATGTAGCAGTGGAGCGCTTTCTGCTGCCCGGGAAATCGAAACATTTCCAGACCCATCCTCGCGTCCAACCATCAGGTAGCTGCCAAAGAAAAAAAGAGAAAAAACCGGTGAAAACAATGCCATCAGGAGCGCACGTTGCTGGGGTCACGTAGTCTTCGACGTTGCAACACAGACCGGTCGTTTCATTGACACCAATCGCATATATTTAGATCGGATTCATTACGAGAATTTGTTTTCTCGCGGAAAAAATATGCGGTATTATCTCCGTGCATGTGCGCGACCATACATATTATTCATGGCGATTCTCTACGATAAGTGATTGTTACAAATAGATTGCATTTACGTAACTATCCTTTTAGCCAAGATCCAATTTCCCATACAATACCAACGCATTTTCCACTATTTCATCTGCACTAAAATATTTATGGGATTTTACAAATCCCAAAGTAATAACATTTCATATGAATATATACGACCTCAAGCACGTAACCAAAATTAATTTATTTTAATAACATATTTACAAAATATTCTAATTTTCTTTTTAGCAAAGCGAACTTTGGTGTTTCCTTTAAAACAGTTAAACGTTTAATACATGTTGTATTAATATATTCTACTTGCTAATATAAACATGTAATAAATTCTAAACTGCAAATAGAAATAATGTTTTCGGAAGCATTGGCCTGAAGTGCGTATTCTAAATGAATGATTTTTATTGGGAAGACTCAAACGGTACAAACAACAAATATTTTTCCTTTTTGTGGAAAGAACTTGTGTTTACCCACTTAATCGCGAACTTTTGCGCCAATCTAGAACTTTCGCACAATTGTTATGACTTCATCTGCATTTCCAATTTTAGACGTTTTTCCCGAAACCCCAACCGAAAAGTTGTTTACTTTATTAAAACCCAATCCATTTGATAAGAGTTAACTTCTTTGTTACAAATATTGTTGTTGATTGTAAATGTAGTGTAAAGTTTAGTAATTTCATGCATGTTTGTATAGATGAATTTATTAGAATTTCAAGACAGTTATATGAAGTTCAATCTATAAATACATGCAAGTAATTAAATTCCTGCAGGTGATGTTGACTTACAAAATGAAAACACGTTGTTTTGAGGCCGTATTAAAAGGGAACAAAATAAAAATGAAAGTAGGCAGTTTGAAAAACGAGTTATGAACAAACATAAATATGAAGAGGAATAATGAAGAACTCGTTGAACCTTGGGAATAGCGACAAATTATTGTTTTGCGAATGTAAATAATGCGCAAAAGAAAAGGGGAGTTCGGGTCATCGAAGATGATGTTTGCTGCCGAATAATTAATATATAATATATAAATAGCAACGAGATATTTACGAGTCAAATCTTCTTATTAGGATACGCGTTATCAGCTGAATACGTCAATAGACGCATACTTGATTCATATTTGGAGGAACGACAAACAGAAATGCGCGATTGTTGTTTTAGTGGAATTAATTGAGTTTATCTCAATAACATGTTTCTCATTCATGACCAGATTAATTGCTTTTTATTTTCCATTACGATGATTCGTTTGCAATAACCGATTCTAATAAGTATAAACATAATATTTTACTTTGATTCGTGATTTCATTTTCCCAAACTAATAATTTACTTTATACATTTCCTAAGAATACATTTTTTTATGATAATTAAATTTTAAACTCGTTCTTCTACAAACAATTGTACAGTTTCATAACAAATCTTATAAGTTAAAGAATGCGGACAAATAATAACGATAAAAATTGATTCATATTTACATGGCATTTACCCATAAGTAAATCTCCAAAAGATAATGAATCAAAATTAATTAATTCTATATGTCTATTGTTGTTTTTAAATAATATATTTTAGTATCGGAATGTGTATTGTATTTGTTCACTTATCGTTTTCTCAAATAAGCAAACTGATAATATGTAACATTTTTTTATTATTTAACTTTGGTAAGTAAGTTTCAAATAATTAAGTTGGCTTAATTTTAAATAACTGTCATTTTATTGTTTGTGCTGTTGTGCAAAGTTGTAATTGTCAAGTAAGAGTAATTGGATGGATTATTGCTATTTTTAAGGTATTTAGAAGTGAATAATTTGTTTAAATCGAATTGGGTGATGTTATTTAATAGTTGTAATGTAATTAACACTTTTTGATTACTATTTAGGGCTGGTAATTAAGGAATTAGGATAATAGATAAAGCTGTTCGTGTACGTTTGGTTGCGTATCTATGGGGGTTGATGGATCGTTGGAATTAGTTGTTGCATATTAAGGATTATCAATTATAATGGGGTGCATGCAGTTGGATAATGTAATTACAGTGCTTTTGTTTTTCTAGATGGAGAAGGCTAAGGTTTTGCAGACTACGCGCTACTTCGATTTACCTATGTAATGCAGAAGAAAGTGCTTGGACTGCATGCAGTCTCAATTGTGCAATTTGTTTGTGGATTCGATCCACCACCCGGTTTTGTTGTGGTTGAAGGCGGCCGCTTGCGTAACGGACTTGCCCTGCAGTTTTCCTCCTGAGAGGCAAGTAGGACATATAACCTGCAAAATCCTGAAATCGTCCGTGCGTACCGGGGGTTGAACCGCTAGGATCGCGACTGGGTCCTGTTGAGTGAGCACGGTTACGATACGTCTATAAATAAACAAATAACTTGTTTACAATTGGATTTTCTGTAGGTCGAAACAAGTATTTATCTGCGATGCAGTTTAAGGCGCATACGCGAACTGTACGTGGGATCGGATCGTCGCTCTGCAAGCCGACGACGACGGCCAGTTTGTCCACGTCCGATCGAACGAGATTCAGTTGCGTAGAAGTCCTGGGATAAAAGGGGTAACGTCGTGTGCAACCTATGGATGCATGAAAGGAGAGGCTCTGACACCTAAGAAGCATCAATCATATAATTGTTGTACCATTATTGTTGTTGTTGTTGCTTGTGCTCCCTTCGTCCCGCACCGGACTGCTGTACTTGGCAAGTTTCGAAAGGAAGCTTTCGGTAAACAAGGACCACGTGATAGCGGCATGGTGCAGATCGCGTAGTGGGGACTGCCAGAAGGGAAGGATCGAGCCAATCTCGACCTAAAGAGCAAAACACAGTCAGATAGGAATGGAATCGAGCGATCGCTGAGATACGAGCCAGAGGTCACGTTTACATCCAAAGAGCTCTTCCCGGACCCGATGTAAATGTGCATTTGTTTATCCATCCGCGCAGAGATTACCTATCATTTCGGAGCAGCTGTTCCACGAGCTAGTTTGTGCTTTACCATCGTCCGGTTATGACCATTTAACTTGCGGACGACAAGAGGCAACCCAAAAAACAATAACAATTGAATGACATGTCACAGAGGGACACTGTTATACATCTAGTGGCCGGGGGGTAAGTCTGATCAACAAACAAAAACATAATTGCGACAACATATGAAGAGACGACGAGCGTCTATCATTATTCCCAGCTAGCGCATCGCGCGACACATCCCATATAACCTTAAAATTACGCATTACATAAGTGGACTACGCACGAAATTTGAAGGAGAAACGGTAGACGGACGAACAATGAAGTGTAGATATGTAGATGAAATCGCACATAGTATTCGGTTGCAAAGTGCAGTCGGAATTCGCATTCGCAACCCTGAATAGGATAGGAACTGCGTGCAATTATCGGCGAGCCACGCTCCGACCGAGTGATCGCGAATCGCAAAAAATTATGTAAAATTGTTTGTTTTATTCGCGTCCGATCCGGCGTGGATAACTCACGATAACGCCAATTAATGCGGCAACAACACGCCAATGCATTATCGCGCACGAGAGTTTTCGAAGAGACGGACGGACAGCAGAGATGCTTTAACCTTCCGAGACGAAGTTCCCGCGACCAATTTTCAAGGCAAACGTCCTATCAACGAATCTATATATAGAATATGGGACAAAATAGCCTTTGTGATCGCCAGTTTGCCATCAAAACTCATCCGAAGGGCACTCTTCTCCAAATACCTCCTACCATCAACCTGCTTCATGGTACCAGATCCAATCTGTCCTTCTTATCCTGTATATCCACACAAACAAACAAAAACCCAAACCACAGTTAACTTAAATGTTAACAGCAAGTCAAAAACTGGTTCATTAGTCATAAATAATACGTGCAAACAATTTAAGTAGCATAAGTAAACATTTAATGTTATCTTGAACTTTTTCTCACTTCCATCCTGCTATATTGCAATTTGCAATCACAAGTCAAATATTAAGTATCATTTTTCTACTATAGTGTTTATGCTTACTGCTCTATTTTACTATATTATACAACTAACCCTGAAAGTGCTTATCTTTGTTTGTACTTAAAATTTCAATGTGTGTAAATTAATGTTAACTTTAATATCAACATTATAATAGCTTTAAATATCATTTAAACTTCTAATTTATGCAATTGCATATTTTTATTCTCATTTCATAAATCAAAATAATAAATATTGACAGTTAATTTTATATTAATATGCTGTATATATAATTTGTATATACTGATAAAGTATTGATAAATGACAAAACCTTGCTTATTTCCACTACACAATCTATATACAATCTTTACTAATTCTTTAAACGATCAAGGAATAATATTATTAATATTTTATTTATTAATCTATAAATATCCTCGATGCTTTTCCTCTCTTGAAACAATATTTTGATACTTGTAGATTTCAATATATTTTAATTCATTATATTTTTTTTTAACGAAATATTTATATTTATTGTTTCAATGTTTGTGTTTAAAGTGTAATCTTAAGCACCAAATGTTTACTGATTATATATTTAAAAACTCGTATATTGGACATTTGAACCATTAGGTGTTAACGTAAAACAAACATCGATTACAACTGGTTAAGTGAAAAACACTTTTGTTTTGTTTTTATTTGTATAATTAATGCAATTGGTATGCCATTATTACCATTATTTGAAGTAAAATCGAGTGCTTTTAATAGGTTTGTTGTCATATTCAATTGTGCATATGAACAAGTATATTGAGTTATCCAATTGGATTTTACCCGTGCGCTATTTATAGAATGTACGTACAATATTATTTATAGTTTGCGCTAATAAAATAATTGCAATAAAAACAAGCGTTAAATTGTTTAAAGTAAACGATATGTTGGGGGGGAAAGCGCTGTAGAAAATCTAAATAGTTGCGTGAACAAAAACGTAACGCTTTGACGCTGATTGATTGCTCTGCAACAAACACAAATAGTCCTGTTTCTTGGCACTTCTGATATATTAAAAAAAATCTATGCTTGTAATACAAATGTGTTCGGCGGATATCATTTAAAAATTATCAGCAAGAAGGAAACGATAAGTGTTTGTGAAAAGTGTAAAAGAAACAAGATCGAACGGTCTCTGACCATGACAAACTTTGTTTTATTTTCATTCTGATTACATTATGCAAACTGCAAGTGTGTTTTTTTTTCACTAATATTGCATGCGGAAGAGGCGGCCAGACATTCTTTGTGTTCTTGCATGAATGAATGAGCGAACGGTTCAACAATCCGAATCGAGATTTAAACGCGTAAAACCACGAGCGCACCTAACAATTAAAACGTTGCGCGCTTTGTTGATCTCTGCTTCAAACAACACACACACTCATAACATAACTAGTAGTAAAGAGGGAGCAACACGTGTCTTTCGCTTTATGGAATTTCATTAAACGGATGGCCTCGACATCTCAAGTTCAAAGTCATCTCGTCGGATAATACATATTTTTTTAGGACTTCTGTAAATCCGAGATGATTGTGGCCATGGAGCGGCATTCAATAATTTCCATGTAAACAAAGCACTTTACATTATGAAATATGTAGTTTCGTAATTCGAGCATTTCAGTTTTCGTTCCTTTATTGGGTATAAACAATCTAGATTCGTATCGGATGATCATTGTAGGGATGGTTGGCCCTGACCGACTGATATCAATTTAACTTAAGTCGCTATGGCAACGCGTTCGACATCGCGTGCCGCACCGGTTATTTACGAAAAGAAAACGTTTTCATTGTGTCTGCTCAATGTGAGTTAGTTCTGTAATGCATAAAATGTCGAAGGCTGTGGAAAATAAAACCAAGGCAACGAATGTACGTTTTCATAACCATAGCACACGCGTATTACAGTATTTAGTAACAAAAGGATCAGAGTTAATAATAATAGATTTTTTTTTAATAATAACATATTAAAGAAACAACGAGCATTTATCGCTTTTTACATATATTTAGTGTGTATATTTGTTGTGTTTAAATATATATACTTTATGATGTGTGTATTTGCTTGTGTGTCGATAAATCAACTCATTTCCAACAAAAACAAACTAATTTCACAATTAAAATAATTTAGAAGCAAAAACAAACTTGATTCAAATGAATAAATTAGAGTTTATGTCCGGATTTTTACACAATCCATGATTCATCATGAAACAAACGAAATATAAGTTGCGAATGGAAAAACAAAATTTTTACTTTATCAACAAAGGAGCGCAGAACAAAAGGCTTCCTAGTGTAAACATATAATATTGGGAAAAAATGTATAGTTTTATGAACAATGTTTTCTTTTGCTATTATTTGTAGTTTAAATGTTGCGATGGAAATGAAAACAATATTTCGGTTGATGAAACAAGTTTTATTTTTATTAATAGAATTAAGTGTATGGGAGAGGCAGGTCTACCGAACCCCCAATGTTTTTGCATGCATGCATGAGTCGAAACATATTGTCGAAAACAGAATGATTTATAAATGATTGCAGCGCGCAAAATATTGTTGTTAATCGTGGTGTGTGATCGAGGAAAATCCGTATATGCAGAACGTATAAATAAATAAATAATGTACGTTGAAAATTTGCGTTCGTAGCCTTAGGTGTTTTAGGGTAGATGTAATTCGTTTGTAAATTCAAGGCAGGAATGATCGAATTAATTACGCGACGGACGTGCGAGGTGCATGCTATTCTATTTTCAGACCACGGACTTGAAAACTACAATATAAATCGTCGGTTTATTTGCGGATGTAAAGTTCACACGATGCAAGGAAAGAAAGGAGAATATAAACGGAAAATTATTAATAATATACATAAATGCTTATGCGGTATTGCGCGTATCTTCGGGAATACTTTGAGTTGCGGATTGAAAGGAAAAACATTCGCAACAATAAGAGCATTTGCAAGTATAAGGTAATAATATTTGCTTTAGCATTTGTTGCGCGTCTCTCGGTCGCTCGTCGTCTCCTGCATTTATGTCTCCTTATTTTCATCGCGTTTCATTTGTTTTGTGCACGCGAAAACACATGGCCTGCAATTCGTATTTTTAACATCTTCTAAAAATATTCTTTCTGCGGTCTTCGCGGATCCGCTCCGGCTGTTTTCACGTTTGTCTAGCGGAGGAGGCTGTTTACACTTTGAACAGTAAATTGCGGTCGTTGCATAATTGAATGATTGTTGTTGCGTTCAGCGAAACCGTGCATTTATTTATTATTATTTATTATTATTTGTTGCTTTGTTTCGCTCGAAAACAGTAAACTGTGTATTCTTTTCTGGATGCGTGCTCGATGAGCGAAGGCCGCGTCGGTATTAGAGGCTAAAGAATGATGATATAATGCCCTTTCGTAAATGCACAATTGTCAAGTGCGCTACGTGCATGTACGCCGTGCCGTTGCGATTTCAATTAGAGCGATCTATAAATAGCAAGCGGTTTCGACATTGTTGTTCGATTCGATGAGAATGCTGAAAGGTGCAATAGTCTCTTCTTCGATATATGTAGGTCGATGTTCTTCGTGGAGGAAGAAACGCTTAAAAAATTTGCTGCCCGATGTTAATTTCTTGTTTTTTTTTTTTGCTTTTTTTCTCTTCTGAAGGGTCGCCGGAACTGTGGGAGCCATAGTGACATGCCCTCTGGAGGTGGTGAAGACCCGTCTGCAGTCCTCCAGGTCAGGTTTCCACGAACTGCCCCAAATCGCGCAGGACACCACCAGCAAGACCACCTGCCGGACACTACAGAGGCGTAGGTTATGGACATCCTCCCATCATCTCCGGCCTCAAGTTGTGGCTCTTTCAGGTTACGTTGCCCCATCCACGCATAATATAGGACTGGTCCAATGCCTGAGGCACATTATTAAATATGAGGGCCCGATGGCGCTCTTCAAAGGTAAACACACAATTACAAGCAAATTTTTTTCTTCTATATTTAAACCAGAATTCGAGCCAAGTGAATTACACACTCATTTAATTTATTGCATACAAGAAATCGAACTCTACTATAAATACACCGCCAACGTTTTTAAATAAATATTATCTTAGAAACACTTTGGATAGAGAGTGAATGGAAACCTGTAGTTTCTCAACGAAACCATAAAGTTTTCACGAAATTTGATTAAAGCTAAAACGTTATAGTTTCGAAAAAGTTCATTAGCATATTTTTCAGATACCAAAGTCCATTCACATTAAAACTACAAGATTTAACATATTAATTAATGCTGACTACTGACTATTCAGATCTTTAAAGAAAATGTATTCAAAATGTATTAGTTTATTGGCCAATATATAAGAAAAGCTTTGTACAAATATAAACACGCTATAAATAACTGGAAAATTGGCCAAAACGAATTCGAATTGGTAGTTTCAAAACCATTAGTTTACAACCACTTAAAATAGTTTATAGATATATTTATATTAATAGTTTTCGTGATATAACGTGTAATAAGCGTTTGACATAATGCATAGATAACTCATGAGTTAACAAGGTTAACAAAATATCATTTGTTAAATTCGTATTGCTTAAATTTATTAACAACTAAAGTTCAAGTTTACTTAATTTAGTACTAGGATAAAATCAAGTAAAGCAAATTAGAAATCAATAAGGAAATTATCGAGAAAGCGATTGTCAATAATGTAATTTTATATTATTAACTAAATGAAAGTTATACGTGATACGTTTTTATTTTTATATTGGTGAAGTGGTGAGGATGTAAAAGTTCAACATTGAGATATGATTATAAACAATTGAAAGAGTTTATTTGTAGAGTGATTGAGAAAGCGATAATTGATATATAAACTACAAATTTAAAAACAACGTAATTTCTTGTTTTAACAAAAAAAAAATGTATATTTTTATCTTATTGAATTAGTGTAAAAGCTCAAGATTTATAGAATACCATAATTAAATGAGTTTATTTGTAGACTTGAGCTTGTCAACTTTATAGATTTTCGACGAGGATATTTGTATTGAAAAGCCTTCTGCATTGTGTGCGTCGAGTATTATTGTGGAATGCAAGTGGCATTGAGAGGTCAAAAGTTAATCAAGCACAAGCACAAAAAGATGCAGATTGATGGTAAGCGTTTGATCCTCAGAGCTTTCGGGTCAACGTCGTGCTTCATCATCTCCACTATTACTACTACAAACTTATAGCAGCAGCAACAACAACAACAATAACAGAAGCAGCAGCAACGTAGTAGCCTTGCTCATAATTTAAATATAATGAATTCGCTCGAGATGCTGATTGTCGGGACAGCAACAGACCGGCCAATTCCTATTGTGTTCCCACTTAATGCACATCACTTGTTCTCCCCGTGTGTACAACACAGATAAACCTAATGAAACCCCATTGTTGTTATCTGTTGAAGCATCGACAAACAAAAGTACACTCGAATTTACTACGAAACCAAAAAAAAAAAAACAGAGTGGATCAGAGCTTTAATTGTGAGAGATTACGATAGTAATTTGAAAGCACGATTGTTTCGCTATTTTTTTTTGTGTCTGCGCGTTAGGTAATGCCCGGAAACGTTTTGATTTTAACACGTATGCAATCTAGTCTAGCGATTTGCTACTACGTAGATATTCGCGTTTTGTTTGTTTGTTTGCTTTCGCAATGGCATTTTTATCGTCCTGTGCTGTTATTCGGTCGCATCCGTTTATCAATATTGCGATTGGCGAATTTCGACGCAGTTTGATTTCGAAGATTATAAAAAAAAAGAAACGAACGGATAAATTAGCTGATGCATAAACAAGCATTTTGTTATTGTTTAATTGACGGGGCTTATCGTTCCAGTCTGGGCGAAATCGATGCGGTAACAACATGAAACTTATAATTATATATAAGTGCATACACGTTGCACCGAATTGTATCGTGTAAATGCACGAATATCCAGATATATCCAGATCAATAATATTTAAAAAAAATTGCAATGTTGTTTAATTATTCTTATCAAAGTCATAAATTCATTCTCGCTCTCGAAAGTATTCGTGATTACATTTTGTTAGTATTGCATTTAATGCAGATTAATTTTTTTAAATTTTAAATGTACTTGCGAATTCCGTTAATATATTTTATAAGTTAATGAAGTGAGAAATACTCGAAATGTAAATATAAACTTTTCGCGTCAATTATTGGCGAACAAAGTTCACACAATTTTCGAAGTGCTATTAATAATTATTTTTTTTGTGGAAATTCTTTTGAAACATCGGGTTTGTTGGAAAATCTTCGAAGTTATTTAAGTAAATTTTGAAAAAAAATATTTTCGTATATCCTATATATATTTAAATTGGAATAAGTAATAGAATTTCATAGTTGAATTCTTGTTGAAATTAAATCTATTTTGAAAGTGTGAAAGTAGGTTTTTGTGTTTGAAATCAGAGGATTTTCTTTGATTGATAATTTTTGTGAGTAAATTTATTTGATTCAATAATACGGTTATTGGCGTTGTGTAAATGAGTTGGCTTGGCCCGAATTTGCGGATGTATTTTTATACGGCCGACGTTGGCAGAGAGGAGATGGTTCGATAAATCTTGAAATGTGTGTGTTTTTGCAGGGTTGGGACCGAACCTGGTCGGAGTGGCACCATCCAGAGCCGTGTATTTCTGCACGTACTCGCAGGCGAAGCTCTTCTGGAACACCGTTTTCCCGCCGAACTCGGCGATGGTGCACATGCTGTCCGCCTCTTGCGCCGGTTTCATGGCGAGCACCCTGACCAACCCCATATGGTTCGTGAAAACGCGTCTGCAGCTGGAGGTGAACAAGGACGGCAATCGGATGACGGCGATGGAGTGCGTCCGAAGGATATACAAGCAATCCGTAAGAGCTCTAAAGATCATAACAGAGTTCGGATCTTGATCGTTTCCTTCTATTGTTTGTTCATAGGGTTTTCGCGGATTCTACAAGGGTATATCCGCCTCTTACATGGGCATATCCGAGACCATCGTCCACTTCGTGATCTACGAGGCTCTGAAAGCCGAGCTGATGGCGCACAGGCAGCGCGACTCCGATACGCGAGACTCGCGCGACTTCCTCGAGTTCATGATGGCGGGCGCCGTCTCCAAGACGGTCGCCTCCTGCGTAGCCTATCCGCACGAGGTGGCGCGCACCCGTCTCAGAGAGGAGGGAAGCAGATACAAGGCCTTCTGGCAGACGCTCGGTCTGGTCTTCAAGGAGGAAGGAATCAAGGGTGTTTACAGGGGTTTGACCACCCAACTGATAAGGCAGATACCAAACACGGCCATCATGATGGCCACCTACGAGGCTGTGGTTTACATATTGTCGACGCGGTTCGACAACGAATTTTACACAAAAGACGAGCACGTCTAAAGCTCCCAATCCCCTTTCTTCTGATAGTCCACATACAGGGACGAGCGAGGCGGGCTCCGAATCTTGTTTAATTTTTCTTTTTTGTTCCGTTCCTATAGTGATTAAGCGAAATTTCGAATTACATTTTTGGATACTAAACTCGCTGTTACCTAGATACAGATAGATTTAAAAAGAAAAAAACAAATATTTTTATATTTATAGAAAATTAATAACACTTTTTGCATACGAGAATCCAGAAAATCGACATATTTTAAATATTACCATTTAAAATATTAGATTTTCGAATATCGCACAACCAAAAAAAAAAAATTGATCATAGTTATAGTGCCATAATGAATTATTCTTTTGTTTAGACGAGTATATTAAAATTTAAAGAGGAAAAGAAAACAAGTCCCCACTCCCCCCAACCCCCCAAAAAAAGTAAATACTGTAGAAGAAAACATAAGCAAGAGAAATTAGAATGACTGTTACGTTTTAACGATTTTTTATTTAGTTATTATGTTAATATATAGTATATATATTATTATTATTGAAGATTTTAAGCAGATGAAAAGCTTTTCGATTTTTGTAGAAAACTTTTGAACTGAAGTGATTTGTATATAAAACATTATTGATGATTTATTATAAATATATTATATTATATATGTGGATAAAACATGTAAAGAAAAAAAAACAAACAAACAACCGAACGGAGTTTAAATATTTTATTGTCTGGTCGTTACGCTTTCGTTTCATTAGCTAAGTGAAATACTTAAATATAACGAGAATTCCGCATACTTGATGATGAAACTGTAGATTTTCCATACCTTATTATTACTACTACTATTATTATATATATTTTTTTTGTTGTTAGCCTTATTAGTTTATGCTGTATATAGCCATACAATTTTCTAAGAAAATAAATAAATGAAACTAGTCACTTGTATTTCTCATTATTTCCCATATCTTTTGATCAATATTAAATATAAATGATTAATAATAGGTATAGGAGACTCAAAAGCATTTGTTTTTATTTATTCATTTATTATCACACGTATATAATGTATACAATATCAACAATTAGTAAATATATTGGTTTGCTTTAGAAACATTTAGTACAGATTTAGTGGACAATCTACGTAGGCCTCTGCGAAATAGAATTTTCTACGCTGAAGAGAATGAGAGCAAATTGGGGAAATTAATTAATTTTTGAAGGAAATCAAAAGTAAAATGCAAACTATTTTTGTTGTTTGTTTTTTTTTTCTTCTTTGAACACACTAATTACATCTTTAGTACTCTTCGATGACTACAAAAATAACAATCTACCTACGATCTATATATATATATAATTCTGAATATACGCTGGAGATGGAACACCAAAATTGCCTCTGCAATTATTTTCTTTTCTTTGTACTTTTTTGGACACGATGGATCGATTATTGAAAATTTTGGTGCTCCAAGAGCCAGAGGAACACTATCAGTTAACATTATTGCTTTCAACAAATGTGCACACGGTTATTGGTTGTTATCGAAGTACGTTGTTATAACGTGATGTGGGTTTGTCTTTAAGACATACGAGTTCATATCGAAGGGGAGTTGATTGATAGAGGAGGCACCGACCGATCGATATGAGCATTAATTAAAATAATTAAATAAAAGCTAGTTTTGTTTAAAACGTAAATTAAAAATAAATTAAAATTGTTATTCGTAAACTCTGTAATTAAAAACGAATGACTTGAATTGCTTCTTTCTTTTTTTTTTGTTTTGCTTTTGATTGCGTAAGTGAAAATTAAAGTAGAGCTTGTAAATAATTAATAAAAGCGAACGAAAGCGATCATACTCGAAAGGAAAAGAGAAATTAAAAATATGATATTAGTAAAAGTAACAGTAACGTATCCATATCTAAATATATATATATATGTATATGCGAATAAGAAATTAGTGTAAATGAATAGAAAATAAAATCAATTGAAATGTTAAGAAATCGTGCACGAATCTCATGGATTATCAGGTAGATCGAGTATCTCCGACACGTAGGCGGCGACATCAGTCGTTTTCTCTCGGTGTATCAAGCAGAACCGATGGTTCAGCAGTTGGTCGTAATTGTAGCGCGATTGATATTGCTTCTGGAGACACTGCGTGGTGAAGTCCTCGAAATCTGGGGTGTATTCATCGGAGGGCAGACGCGGCGGACTCTCGTTCACCACCTGCTTGAGTTGCTCGAAGGGTGTGCCCCAGTTCGGATAAGGGAAGGCGCCTGTTGCCAGCTCGATGAGAGATATGCCCAGACTCCATACATCCGATCGGATGTCGTACTGCGACGGATTGCCCTGCGGATCTATCCTTTCCGGCTGCAAATCACCTTGCAGTGAAAAGAAGATGCTTCGTATGCTTAGGATGATCTCAACTTACGGCCATGTAGGGTTTGCAGCCGGCGTCTATTGTCTTCGCGATGGAATCGACCAGGTAGCCGCTGATGCCGAAGTCGCACATCTTCACCTCGCCTCGCCTGTTTATCAGTATGTTCGATGGCTTCACGTCCCGATGGATCACCTTCAGCTGGCTGTGTAGGTAATGAAGAGCGCTCACAACGGCCAACGATATTTTCCCCAGGATATCCTCCGGAATTTTGCGTCCGTGCTTGTACACCTTGGCATAAAACTTATCGAGACTGGTATCCATTACCTTTTAAAAAACATACAAATCATACAATATAAAATGTTATTAATGGTGAAAAACTTGATAAAGTACCTCCATGCAAATCCAAACATCGCCCTCCCTAAACAAAGCGCCATAAAATTGAACGGTATATGGACAATCGCTGCTCCTCATGCTGATGTCCAGATCCATGAGCAACCTCTTCTGCTCCTGACTGTTAACAGTCGCCGTGATCCTCTTCACAGCCATGATCGTCCCACTTGGCTTATGCTTCATCTTCTCGACGTACCCATAAGCCCCGTGTCCCAAATCGCAAATCTTCTCCAGGTCGTCGGCCTCCACATCGAACATATGCTCACCGATCGTAATTGTCGTTCTGGTATCCAAGTTTGCTGGTACATTTCTGAAAAGCAAAATCCAATTTCCAAAATTACATCCAATAAGAATTTAAATTTGCAAAATTTACCCCAAAATACAATTTGCAACTTACGTAACGTAATTATATTGTAATTATACTTCAATTGTCATGTAACTTAAAAGCAATTACATCAAAAAAAAAAACAAATAAATTGAAGTTGGTAATTTAAATCAATTAAAGTGTTATTTAGAATAAAATCCTTGCTGAGATTTTTAATTAGCCAATTGAAGTTAATTAACTGTATTTGGTGAGAACTTGTATAGGAGAAGTACTCACATTGGAGGTGCTTCGGCCGGGGCCAATTTGATTTGCAACTTGGGATTTCTCTTTCGGCTCATGGCTGCTCCTGATCTACAAACCAACAAGACATTAATAAATTATTATTATTACTTTCTCTCCCACTTCCTATTGGAGGTTATAAGATTACAGAGATCACAATTAAATAATGGGCAAGTAACACAATGTCAGTGTGTGTGCAAAAATTGATGATTTCTTCAAGCAGAAGGAAACTTACAAATTACCTAACTGATTTTTATGAGTCTAATATAGCACAGGCTTCCTTGAGATCCTTTTAAAAGTATATTTAATATGCATGTATATATATATCTATGTCGGTGTGTATCTATATCTATTTTATTTTTTTTGTGCTGAAGCTGAAGTTCTTTTGAGGTTAACAATGAGCTCTCTAGATTGAACGTCAAGTTTTTGAACGAACGTCCTTTGCGTACTGCCTACATCCACCGCAGTTTCCGAAGCATTCTCTCTTTCCGCAATCGCTGCTTAATGAATAGTTATTATAAATGCATGCGTAAAAGGTAACATGTCCAAATAAGTGCAGAATGCAGGCCTATGCGGTGTTATTATTAAACTACTTATTACAATGGCAAAACTTATCGACGGAAACGTGCGTGGTAAGGTGTTCGCTTGGGAATATTGTAATGCTTACTTGGCGAATGCTATTTAGCTCACTGTATCATTTAACAAAGATTTAACATACATTTAAATATATTACATACAACTCTTCTTCTTTTTTTTAACATACACACGCGCTGCTTTGGTTGCCTACACGTAAACTCATAATTTTGCATATACAGGGTGTTCCAATTTCATCGTCATTACTTTAAATCATCAACATTCTTTATCAACACAAATACAACATCAGTATTTTATAGTAGACACAAAAGTAATAAATATATTTCAATATAAGTGTAAATATTAACTATAAATAAGCAACAAATTATATGGAAACTATAGACTATTATGATAACATTCTAATTTATTGTATAAAGTTTAAATTAAATACAGTTCTCTTCTGATAAAGTATTTAAATTTCATATTAAATTGTTTTTATAACTTGATTCAATTATTTCTTGATTTTAAAAAAACAATCTTGTTTGAATGAATTAATATCAAAAATAAAGAAATAATAAAAAGTTATTGTTAATTTCTATTATATTATTCAATGTAATTAACGGGAGGTTTAATCTTTAATTGAGCAGGTGCTGCTAGGTGGGTTGTCTAATGATAATTGTATGTAATTATTTATTGTTTCTGCTTTGTTGCTCTTTTGTTTTATGGGTTTGCAATGATAATTATAGTTAGATATTCGTTTTGTTTATTGCTTTTATATTGTTTTATGTATTTTGTTAAATTATTTATTGATTTAATTTGCTTTTGTTGTTGTTGATTGTTTCGATATAAATTTTGTGTTATTTGTAGAAGCTTTGTATTCGTCGCGTTGGATGGACGGAAGTGAGAGATATTCTTTCCGCCCTGCTAATTTATTATCTTAAAATTATTGATTTTCCATTATGTTAATGAAGGTTCGGCTTTCTTAAGGGTGATTTTGCGCATCTCAGATTATACAATGGACGTAATGGGGTAACAGGTTTGATGAGCGGAGGGTGGCAGCAACGCAGGAAAGCAGGCAAGTGCGGTGTTTCCAAGGGTAATTCCCCCCCGATCGAAGTGTGTGTATGTGCGTGCATGTACATGAGCGTATGTATATATGGATGCGTGAGTATGTATGGATGTTTGTGTACGTATGTATGTATGAGAGAGCGAAGGAAGGAAGGAAAACATCGTGTGTACCATGTGTGGCCCGTGGGCGGTGCGTAAGTGTAAACACCCTGTATAGAGAGAGAAACAGAGAGACACGGAAAGAGTAATTTAATTTTTGTGTAATTGGCAACATTTGTTTGAAACAATTCTCGCTGCGTCCCATAATCCAATCCCCGTCTAGTGACTTTAATAAAATGTCGAAAATGTCCAACAGAAAACCAAACAAACTGAACTTCTGTGCATTCTGAGGGAGTCCCAAAGTTGGTGGAAATCCGCGAGATTCGGGCACCGGCCGTGCGCGCCCCCCTATGAGCCAGTGAAAGTTTACCAATGAAAGAAGGTTAGAAATGTGTACCACAACAAATTTTGCATACTGGCAGGTAGAATCTCAAAATGCAGCCGAAGACTTACATAATTATTCCATCCAGAATGTGTTGCAAGACTCAAAAAATTTGAAAATACGGAAGCCCATGTTCTTCATGAACAGCTTAACCAAGCAGGAGGATACCTACGATAAGTCCCCTGAGAAGCTCGAGAAACATCTCATATCTCCGTTTGCCACCGTGCAATTGACCCCCGACGAATACAATCAGATCATATCGAAGAGGCACGAGACACTCACCCACAAGGTTGAACCTAGTGCTGCTGAGCATCCTGCCCCAACTAAGATAAGGCCCTTCTCGTGTGCCGAGTGTGGCAAGACTTTCCTCTTAAAGCACCATCTCACCACCCATGAGAAGACCCACAGCGGCATCAAACCACACAGCTGTCATCATTGCGGCAAGGCATTCACCCACAAACACTGTTTGAACACTCACCTGCTGCTGCATTCGAGTCAGAGGCCCTACCAGTGCATTGAATGCAAGAAGAGTTTCACTCTGAAGCATCATCTTATCACTCACAGTCGGGTATGTACTTAATTTTAATTACTCTACTCCCATCAAATCAATCAAAACAAAAATCATATTTGAAAAAATTGTATAGAACTTAATTATCATTTAAGCAAATTAAATTATCTCTATTTGCTATTTAAAATTCTTTAAAAACTAGAATATTTAATATATATATTCAGTAATTTCAAGGAAAGTAGAAAATTAATTGTATATACATGTTTATTTCATTAATACAAAATATAGCAAAGTGAACATAAAAACAGGTAATGTATGAAAATAAATTGAATTTGAGTTAATAAACCTCAAATAATATAAATTGCTTATTAGTAACTAACAATGGACGTAGATATTAGATTATTTGGTCTCTTATCTCTATTGTATGTGTGTTTCTCTGTAAAAAGTATGGAGTATATTCGAGCGATATTTAATAATTTTCTAGAAACAAATTATACGGACAAAGAAGCGAACGCGATTCCATATTGCAGTTAAGCTCTGTAATTATGAAACCGAAGCCGTTTCTTGCGGATCGATACAAATGATGTAAGAAACTTGCGAGGTATCAGCAGATGTCCAAGATTCGTGAATGGCTGCGAATTTATTTCGTGTAATTTACGCCAAAGGCGACTTTCATCCACTGAAATCAATAGTATTATGATTTCGCAGTTTTGTTAAATACACATTGTGTATAGTTGAATAATATTGATTTAAAAACTTTATAGTAATGTTTATTTGTGCGTTCACACGTGACTTGTATCATAATTTGTTTACATTTATGTATTTTCAAGGAAATTAATTTGAGGAATAATTAGTTGAAAATTGCAGATTTTATCATATCGTTGAGAAGAAAATTAGACGAGTAAAATAACACGTAACAAAGAATGTTATTTTAGTGTTTTAGTACCTGTGGTTAATAACGACTATGCGGTGCAAAAAAGAAGCCTATAAATTAACCTTTTTCTGCCTCTGATAATGAACTAATTTGTACATAAATTTGCATATGCTTTTCTTTATTATCATATCAGTGCAATTATAGTTGCTAACTAATTTAATAATATAAGAAAACCTCATTTGGAGTAAAACTGCAAGCAGACAATGTTACTACGAACATCCTTTCATGATGATAAGTAGTCATCTGATTTATTTTATAATTTGTTTGACATATGAGATATGAGGCACGCGTTATTGCGAAATAAGAACAGGATGAAAAAAACAACAATAACAATAACAAACAGATGTGCTTAAATCTTCATCTCGTATAGCTTCTACTGTTGTGTAACAATCTTCCAAAATAATATTTTGTGTGAAGTTTATGGATCTTGAATGCATTAAATGATTAGAATTCTCTCAAAGTTGGCCCAGAAAGAAAAAAATATAAAATATTATTTTGTTGTTGTTAAAATTGTTAAAAAAAATTATTTAGGAAATTAAAAGTTATTCTCTTGCAAAATGGCGGAATGTTAATCTGTTATGGTTAAATGTGCGGTGAATAAAACTCGCGGATTGTTTTAAACGCTCGAGTCGTGAATATGGGAGTACGATTCCGGTCGCATTGTAATATTTTTTAATATCTCTGAATTTAAAATTAAATCAATAACGAAGCTCGGAGGGGTTGGACTGAAGCAATCAAACTCCGTTTCCTTTTTCGTCGTCTGATGTGTTTCATTCCTCCTTTTTTTTCCTCTACCCCTGTTAGGTATATATATGTGTAGTATATATATACTAGATGTATATATATATATTTTAATTTGCTTCCATCCCCTTCGTTTGCGCCACTCTCTCCATCCACCCCCGTTTTGGAAAGTGCGCGTCGGACCGGCGTATGCCGCTCCGTAGTAACGGTGAATTCAAGGAGAGCTTCCATTGTCCTTTGTGTCAGACATGCAGGTTGAAATAAAATGGTGAACATGGGAGTGTTCCCGACACATCTCTGACCAGTTCCATCGCACAGGTATAATATACCTTCACTCTAACACACACAGCCATACAAATATATATATACACACACACACACACACCCAGGTGCAGACCATAATAATCTAAGTCGCCTTTCGAAAACACACGTTCGTTCTGCGGTCAGTCAATGTTGATGATGATGGTCCATCGTTTCTTGGTTCCACGAAAACCATAGTCCGCATCCTCCCCGTAAGTTGATTGATATTAATTTATATTCGTGGAAGAGAGCTCTATCGAAAGAACGAGATCTATCGATTCGGCATCGCGGTTTCGGGGTGTTTCCATCAGCCATTCGGTGCATTGATCTTTTGTCTCCGATGCATTATTAAATGCGCGGCGTTGCAGAACAAAGCCGAAGAGGAAAAAAGGACGGTAACCGCTTGCCGCCAAGCTGTGCTGTTGCTGTTGCTGCCCTCCGGTATTATCGTAGACTCGCGAGGTGTCCTCCGTGTTGCCCCATGATGTTTTTGTTTATGTTTACGGGCGACACGTCGACACAATTTTGTCGTTGCATCGGGTCTCTTTAAATGCACGCTGTGGGCGAAATCGCGGCTGGCCCACACGGATTAAACAGCCGCTCGCACATTCAGGTCATAGTTCAAGCAACTTTTAACGAAACACACTTGCGGAGATGATGTCGATGATGACCGTATCCATCTTTCGCCCGTCGACGCCCTATTTTATTCGGTTTTAATTGCCCCCCCGAAATCAATACTAACCGAGCGCATTACATTAATTATTTATGGAGACGTTAAACAACAACAAATATATCCTATTGAAATACCCCGAAAATTGATCTGTTGCATAACGCGATTTTGATTGCATTCTCGTTGATTTCTTTTCGGTTCTGTTTTTTTATTTGATTTTGTTAAAGCGCTCATTGGAGCAATGAGGGAAACCATTGTGCAACGACTCTTTGCTCGCCGGTAATTGCTCACGAATCTTGCACAAAAATGATTTACAGTAATAAACCAGTCATGAACATTGTTGTTATACAATGATGTTGTTGTTGTTTTCTTTTTGGTTTCGATACTTTTTCTTTTTGTATTCTCCCTGTTTCGATGCTCGGGCGCGCAGCCATTTCGGATTGTTGCAATCTTCCGAATCGATCGGTCGCGATTTCTTTTACTTTCCGCTGCTTTTATTTTTGGCGGATGGAGTTTTAATTTAATCGTTCCTCCTTTGAGGATGAAGAAGAAAGGCTCTGCGCCTGAGCTCTCTCGTTCCTCTTTTGGGGGGGTTGAACTACTACTACTACTCTCTAACATCGCGCTCTCGCGTCCGTCCCCCATTTTGTTTCCGCGGAGGGCACTAAATTTCCTCCAATCTACAAACTCTTATTAGTAAGACATAAACAACAGTTTAATTTGTTTTATTGAATAATATGAGTTTAATCTAATTTGTTTCGGGTTTTTCTTGTTGCAGGTTCATAGTAGAGATCGCCCGTTCGTTTGTAAAGATTGCGGTCGGACTTTTCCGTTGAAGAGGCACCTGGTTACCCACAGCAAATTCCATGCAGGAGAGCGACCACACATTTGTAACGAATGTGGCGAATCCTTTGCACAGAAGGATCACTTGGTGAGTGCGAGAGCTACGATAAAAGGCCGAGCCGATTTGTAACTCCTTTGCCCCCTTTGTTCTTCAGATTATGCACTCTAGATTCCACGGCTCTCTGAATTCATTCGTTTGCCACGACTGCGGCGCATCGTTCACACGTAAATTCGAGTTGGTTAACCACCACAGGTTGCACGGAAAGATGCCACATTCCTGTCCGATTTGCCAAAAGGAATTCCTGCAGAAGAGGACTCTGATCACACACATGAGGTGAGGCTTTTGTTCCGGTAGCTATATGAATTTTTTTGGAGCCGTACAGTTTTTCTAACATCTCGTTTCCATCAGTCTTATTGTCGTTATTATTATTATTTTTGCTCTTCTTGTTTCTGTTTTTTTGTTGTTGTTATTGTTTTGTAATTTAATTTGTGTTTTGTGTGTTAATCGTTTCCATTTCAATTTGTCTTTTTTTTGGTCATTTTTCTCTCTGTCTCGGAAACGGTGTTGCTTGGTATTGAGGAAATAACCAAATCAAATTCATATTTAATTAAGTAAATGTCTTGTTTTGTTGTTGTTTGTACAATTGATTGATGAACTGAGTGGAAAAGGAGCAAAAAATTGAATTATGTAAAATTTGATTTCGTAATTTTCAGATACCACAATGGTGAATATAATTTTACGTGTCCAAGTTGTGGGGAAACGTTTCAAACGAAATCCGAGCTAAATCTCCACTCGAAAATGCACCACGAAGCGAACGCTTTAGAAAAACCATTGGCTTGTACAGAATGCGCGTTAACTTTCAATTCCCGCGAAGCTTTGGCGTTGCATATAAAGTTGCATAGTGGAGATTCCCTGTTAGTAAACGATTTGTGTACATTAACCGCTAGTTTGCACCACCAGAATTTCCCAATAAACAATGGCATAAGTAGCAATAGTTATCAGTATAACAAAACTGTCGGCTACACCAATAAAATTAGTACAGTGCAAAAAAGTAAACCGCACATTTGTAAAATATGTTCGAGGGCTTTCAGTGCAAAGCATGGTTTACAACAGCATAACAAAAGACATCCAGAGGGCACGTGCGCCCTTAAGTCACACGTCTGCTCCTACTGCAACAAGGGCTTCTACCAGAAGAATCATCTGCTGTTGCATCAACGCCAGCACATGGAGCTCAAGATGAAGAGCGAAGACATCAAGTCCGATATTCCATCGATCAAGAACGAATCCTCCAACAATGAGTGTACCAGTTTAACGGATTTTTCATAACTAATTTTCTTCATGCACTTGCTGAATGATTTTGCTAAATAATTTGTTAATACAAACTATTGATTAATCAAATCAAAAAAAAGAAAAGAAAGAAAATCTTAACAAACAAGGAAGAAAATTAGTAGTAGTAGTAGAAGAAGGAAAGAAGTGAAACAACTAAAAACTACACGTTTTCGTTCTCCCCCCCATTTACGCATAGATAACTCAATTAACATATCCCCCCAGCCACCCCTCTCTTTTTGCATTGAATCAATTGAGCACAAGATTATTTAGCAAAATGTAACATTCTAACTGTGATTTACTAATTATTTACATTATTATTATTGATAATTATATTATATTTTTTAATTTTATCAGCTAATTTTAATAGTACAAATTTATCTATTATTTCTTTTTTATTATTATTATTACTATTATTATGATTTCGTAATCTTTAATTTTCTTTTTTTTTTCTTTTAAAAAGTATTTCCTATACAGATTTAGTTTGAAACAAAAGAAAAAGAAGAAGGAGAATAGGAAGGAGTAATATAATATAAATCGCTAGAATGTGTAAATACGCGCTTGGAAAAATAACGAGAAAAATAATGGAAAAAACAAAAAAAAAAAGGAACATAATAATAATATAAAATAAATATATTGTCTGGGTTTTAGTTTAAAAGATATTTTGTAGAACTATTATTAGAGTCGTATTATAATAACATATATATATAAAGATATGTAATTTTTATTTTTTATACATAACCCGTTAAGAAACTGTCCGGAGGAGTTTAGGGCAAAAAAAATTCGATCGTTCGGTGCGACGTCTCTTCCTTTGATTGACGCAGTTGAAACTATAGTTTTTTGGGGAGATTTCGCAGTCCTCCCGGACGGTTTCTGCCTGTGTATATATTGAGAAATAGAAGAAGAAAAATCACGCAATAATAATAATATACTAAATGTCTAAATAAAAAAAAAGTACTATTTTGTGGCATTAAAAACGTAAGAATAATAATAATAAATAAATGAAACTACAAGTTCTTTATATATAAATATATGATATATTAACTATTATTATAATTATAACTATTATAATTTTTTTTTTCTGTTAATTGTGAAGTAAGAGGAATTATTATACGATTATATAGATTATAAACACTTAAGTATTTATACTTGTGAGCAAGGACTACTTGTTGTTGCGGTTTACATTATATTTTTTAAAAGTATGAATTTAGCGATGGATAAAACGTAAAAAAAAAAACTTGTAAAGAAAACGAAAATGATACAGTTTTAGTGATGCTTCTTAATCTCTCGCAAAGGGACCGACTGCGGTCGCAATGTCGCAACAGAGTTCCCGAGTACATTGTTTAGTCTAAATCTTAAAGAGGAAAATATTTATATGAAATGCAAAAAAAAAAATAATAAATAAATAAATCACTAATAAACGACGAGGAGGAGCAAAAGATTTTCTGTTTATTTTTACATTTTGTTCGTTGTTCTCTCCTTTATTTTGATATAGCGAGGTGGATAATACGTTTGAAAAAAAAATATAATGAAAGAGTAAACATTCACGCCCTCACCTCGGATCCAGATAACAGAAAATGTGTGTGTGTTTTATTATGTTTTACTGTTAACTAAATGATTCCAATGTCCGGAGAGGCAGTTTTCTTTTTATTTGCTGCAGGATCGCAGCGTTGTACTTTTTAAGTTTGTAACAATAGCAGGCATTGATTTCCGGAATTAGTTTCACCATTATGATTATTATTATTATTATTATTAAACGGAATAAGAAATCCTCCTTCGCTTTTTATTTTCCCATCCCGATCTTAATTATATCTTTATTTTAGACGCAGCCAGGTAAGATCAATTCGACACTTTCTTCAATTATTTCCGCTACTCTTCTGTTCTAAACAAAAGCGTTTTCATTTGTTTTCCCTTAATTTATTAGTAGAGTGCAATTATCAGATGGCTGCGATTGTCGATATCGAAAATTTAATGGCGCAGGATTTCGTCCTTGGAACTGGCGAAAAGAAGATGCACTGCGTTGCGTTTCCGCGTATCCTTATCTACGCTTGCTTATCTTTTAAAAATTAATAATCTCTTTATTTTAGGTGCAATATTTCATAAGTTTCAATGCAAAGTTATGTTGAAATTAATTAATAAAAAAAAAATCAAGAAAAATTTATTAAAATTAGTTTTTTTTATGTTCCTTTCTTGTGAGAATATTAATCATTTTGTTTTTGGTAATTTATATTATAAAAATCTAGTAGGAATTGTTGCTAAGGGTGAAACAAAAGTTTGTTATAAATTTGACGTTACAAAAGTGAAATTTGTGCTGTGTTTAATCATTCGATGTTTAGAACGAGAAAAATTGCTTCCAGTCAATTGGTAAGTGCAAAGAAATTATCTTAGATCGATTATGAACAAGTTAAATTATAGAAATCATAATTTAGTTGATCTTAAAACTGATTTTAGTTACATCTAATTAGATCTCTGTCTAGTCAGAAAATTGTATACATTTCTTTATAGATATGATAGTTAATAATTGAAACGTAATAGCTCCACGTTTACCTTGATGTAATGCGAAATTGCGTTACTTTACAGAATACAAAACAAAACGTTGGATGATGTTTGAAATCGCATTAATTATGTTATTAACGCAACAATAATTAGAGCGTAAGGTTCAATTGGGTTGGAACTGGGAGCGCTCAATTAAAACTGAAATGTATCTGCAATCAATCCCTAAATCAATCCAAGTTGTGCCATTCTTTTCGGGCATATCTCAGGGACGGAAAGTGCGAGTTGCGCGTCCTTGGAGGCAGCAACTATCATTTTTCGTTTATATGCTGATGGAACGTACGCCGCATGATAACTGCTGGCTGCACTTTTCATTCTCTCTGAGATCGTTTTGTTTTTTTTCGATCGGTCGACGAACAAAGGTATTAAGTAATTTAAAGATCCGCTGTCGGCGTCACTTTCAATCATCGAGTTTGTCACTGTCAAGGTTCGCGCGATCATTAAGCCATCAAACATTACACATTGCGCTGATTTGGTTAAACGTCGCGTGGTCGCATCTTGGACAATTCCGAGTATCTTTAGCATTGTTCTAATGAAACGTTGTTAGAACAGTGGTTGTTATTTGTTTAGCAATTGAATGGAACGTCTTGTGTACATTGTGAATCATGTCTATTTACGCTTCATCTATCTATTGCCATTAAAACTTGATTAATCATAATTATTATGGAATGATATACACTTTACACTAATTTTATTAATTTGCATGATACATTTATAAGATTGGAATTTCCTTTAATAATTGTAAATATTTGTTTCTTAGTTTTAAATTAATATAACTTCAATTATAGATAAATGTAAGTGAAAGTTACTTGACGATGGTTTTAGGATGTGTCTTCAATATATAATATTTGTGTGGTAAATAGGTAATATTGTTAATCATCGTATTATAAATTAATCCTTTTAATTTAGCTGTATTAATATTCAATTTTAAAAGGCTTTGAAGGGGATTATCGTCTATTAACTTAATTAATACTTGATCCTGATGGGATCGGAGGCGCGTCGCGTCCTCATTTAAATGAGCGCCGGGTTGGAAAGGACAAGTGCAAACAAAGGATAATTTGTGAATTAGTAAGAAAATGTAATTGACATCCAGTTGCATGCATGCATCATCATCATCATCATCATATTTGATGTCGTCGTGCAAGCCTTTCTCTGTCGCTCTTCCGCGTCTCCCTCTTCGAGCAGAGCCTGGCCAGTCCTGGCGTGTGTTTATTGTTTATGTGCGCAGTATTGAGAGGACGTGTGGCGCCGCTCGCGGCCAAACATTGAAGATGGCAGCAGGCAGCAGGATTGGGCACACAGTTGCATGCAAGTTGGGCGCCGAGGCCGCCGAAGAGACTACCTAGATATTGGGCTTAGATTCGAAGAGCTGCTGTCCCTTTTGTCCGGGATCTGCGGAGTTTCCGTCGAGTGATTGCTGATAGTCTGAGTGCAGGCGATTCATTGCAGCCATCCCACACACGAATGTATTTGAAAGTAAGTGAATGCATTTATTCTAAGCGGATAAAAAGGCATTTTCTTTGTTCGCTGCACACGCACATTAGCCCATAGCTGCCATATTATCCATCCATCCATCCATTCATTCATCCGTAGGAGCAAACGAATAAACGCGCGTCCAAGCGGTGTCCATCTCTTCTCAGCAGGCTGATGATCAATCATTAGGATGTAGCGTACAAATAGATCAGAGAGCCTGCTGCGTTTGTATATTGTTATTGTTTTGGTGTCGCTGGCAGGAGGTGTTTTGAACGATAATCTCGGGATGGAAATAGCATTTAATCTCGAGAGGATCGCAATCACTTCCTCCTCGAAATAACATTGATTAACGAAAAGAAAACAAGCAGTACAAGCAGCAACAACATCAGCAAACACGGGGGGATTCTCTCCGCTGCTGTAGCTTGAGAACAATCTTTTGTTATGGCAGTCAGCTGTTAGGTTGACGCGCGCCAACTGCGACGTACGTCGCATAGTCGTGTCCTTGTCGTCCTGCGGACCAAGAGTCGCGATTCCGCGCTCGCTTCCGGCTGATCCTGCTTGGGTCTTTCGTACCGTTGGGTCGTCCACAAAGGACAAATGCAATCTCGACACCGTAAAAATAATACACACAAGGAGGTGGTCTGCTGCGCGCATTCTGTGCACCAGACAGACCAGACCGAACATTTCACGAACCCGAGAGAGGTAAGTCTGTTGACCCCCAACAGCCTGGACCACTGAACCTGCTGCTCCGAAAAAAGAACGACCATTTCGCGGTATATCCACCGTCTAGCCGTCGAGTTTTACTCCCTTCCTCGGAAATCTTGCTCCTTCTTTATTGGACTTCCAGAAACTCGATGTTTATGTTTATACCCGTTTGAACTTTTACCATTTATCCGCGTCTCTACCACTTGAACTTCTAATCAAGTTTTTAATTTTCTGGATCTACAGAAAATCTTAAGAAACTCGAATTTAATACTTGTAACTATTAACTCAAATCTGGTAGTTACATTTGAGTTAATATTTACAGAAAGCCCATTTGTTTTGCTTTTTAAATTTAATATTTGTTATTGACTCTTTGTATTTATTTCATGTATTTATTTGTTTTGATTAAATAATATAAACGCTTTAAAAGATTTGTTTTCTTAAGCTACCGTTGCCAATCCATGTAA